CAGGTTTAGGATATAGTTCTATTGGTAGGATTAGTGTATGTGTGAATGGTGTTTGGGGGGCTGTCTGTAACACTGGCTTTGATTACACTGATGCCAGTGTAGTTTGTGCTCAATTACGATTCTCACGATTTGGTTAGAAATTACTTTATGTGTTTTAAATAACTTGTTACTGGCAGGTTCCTTGTCCAGTTCTGGTTATTATGCTTACAATGAACCAATGCATTTTTATAATTTAAACTGTACTGGAAATGAATCAAGTATTTGGGAATGCCCATTCAAAAATGATACACAAAATTGTTACTATGCTGCATCTGTGATATGTCAGAGTAAGTTGATGATATTATAAGTTAGTTATAATGACTCTTCAAGTTAATAATGCTACTGTTGATACTTCATGTACAACTGGTGATGTTAGATTAGTTGGTGGTCCCAATGAGTATGAAGGAAGAGTTGAAATATGTTACAATCAAATGTGGGGAACTATTTGTGACTATGACTGGGATTCAACTGATGCTAACGTTGTTTGCAAACAGCTTGGCTATCAGACAATAGGTATCTATCTGTAATATCTTTTAGATAATTTTTATTTTTTTATTTTAGGGTCAGTATCATTGCGTGGCAGTTATTATGGAAGAGGGCAAGGACCATTTGTTATGAGACGCTTGTCTTGTTCCAGTAGTGACAGTTCACTAATAGCTTGTAATCAAAATTTTCGTAATAGCATTGCTCTTTCTTGTGGTACAACTAGTGCAGCAAGTGTTGTATGTTTAGGTAAGTATTATAAATAAACATGTTGTTCACCTTTAATGATAACAGGATTTTGTAATGATGGTGATATTAGACTGAGAGGATCATCAGTGACATATGCTGGTCGTGTTGAACTGTGTGTTGAGAGAACATGGACTACACTGTGTGATCAAACATGGGACTTTAATGATGCTGCAGTGACTTGTAGACAACTTGGATACTCTTCATATGGTTAATGCATTTATAATATAATTAATATTAATATCAATATAGGTGCTATACCAACATACAATTGCTATACTGAGGGACAACTGTCATTTGGTATTACCAATCTTAATTGTACAGGGTCAGAAGGACATATTTTTAACTGTACACACAGTAAACCAGTTTTGCATAATTGCCTATCACATAATGATGCTGGTTTAATTTGTCAAGGTAATTAAGTAGTGAGTTTTCAAATAAAAAATGATTTGATATTTACAGCATCTGTGCAACAATCTAATTGTACTGATGGTGAGGTTAGATTGGTTAATGGTAGTGGTCCTCATGAAGGAAGAGTTGAAGTGTGTATTAATGAAGCATGGGGCACTGTCTGTTCTAACGGCTGGACTAATACTGATGCTAATGTAGTCTGTAAACAATTAGGATATCTATTAATGGGTTTGTGTAATAATGTGATTAAATTCAACAATCAAATATTCTATAGGTGGAAGAGCAAGATCTGGTAGTGATCATTTTGGTCCAGGAGTTGGTCCAATACTGATGGCTAGTGTTGATTGTACTGGTAATGAGGAATCATTAATAGAGTGTAGGACAAGATCATGTGATGTCACTACTTGCTCTCATTATAATGATGCTGGGGTCACCTGTGAACGTAAGTAAAATACACTATATTAGTAATATTAACCTTTCCTTCATAATAGGTAACTATACTGATAGTGAGATTAGGTTATGTACTGATGGTGAGATTAGATTAGGTGACGATGCTGTCCTAAAGGGAAGAGTTGAAGTGTGTATTAATAACACATGGACTACAATCTGTGCTAGCTATTGGACTGACAAAGAAGCTACTGTAATTTGCTCTCAGCTAGGATACTCACGCTATGGTAAATTAAATACCGATGTTCCAGGGTCAAAGTTTATGTATGCTTATATAGGTGCAGTTGCTACATATGGTGTATTTATTGATTATGTG